AATATTGATTTGAGTACATTTTATTTGTAATACATTGCATGTTCATTGTGGATGAAAGAAACTTGGTGGAATTGTTTCTAATACCAAACCAGACGCAACCTGAAGCCTGTATCAATGGCCAAATTGTTACTCAGGTTAAATCCAAGATTTGTTATGACCAGTGGAGGAGCCAGAATAGAAAACAAAAGTCAGTGCAACCTCAACCTCAGTCCTAACAGTGGAGTCAATGATTACATTTGTCGTCAGTGGTGCAGTAAGTTTGTGAATTAAAACAGAGCCACTTAGAAAGAAATGCTTCAGAGACAAGGAGTTTGGCCTCATTGCACAGAAGAATACCTACTCTCTTGCTGTTCGGTGTCTCTTGCCTGACCCAGGTTTCAGTGTGCATCAGTCAGAGCTAGTCGGCGTTTGGGAATGTTTGTAATATTCGCAATTAGTCTATGCGCTTCTGGAAATCTTGAAGATATGTCACACTGTGCCTGATCACTAATGATTTAATTCTTTTTAAATAAATGTCATGATTGTTGTTGGTTGCACAAACTAAATTAATAACAGTCCAATAAAAAGCCAACATAAAATTGCAGTTTTGGCTGTAACAATGAAGGGGTTGTGCTGTGCATTTTATCTCAGATCTATGCAGAAGTGACACTGGTTTTTTTTTTAGGTGTGTAACTGTTTACAGTGCTTTAAAATGTCTGCTCTATGCTTTTAGCTGCAGCTTCCAGCTAATTCTAGTTTGGTTTACTTTCCTGAGTCCACACCCAGATTTAACCAATGAGCAGAGTTAGTGAGTGGATTTTCAGAATCAAACACAGGATAATTGAACACTACTGGTCACACAATCAGCAGCGTCCCCAGGCCCATGCATAGTGCCAGTTTCCCTGACAACACGCCACTAAAACATGGGCCATATTCAATAAGCATTAATGTTGGACTAACTCGGATCAGATTTATTCTCTCTCTGCCACAATAATATTGACATAGAGGTGCTGGTGTTGGACAAAGTCAGAAGTCACGCGACACCAGGTTATAGTCAAACAGCTTTGTTTGGAAACACAAGCTTTCGGAGTGCTGCTCCTTCGTCAAGTAAAAGCACTTCACCTGACAAAGGAGCAGTGCTCCAAAAGCTTGTGATTTCAAAAAACCAGTTGGACTATAACCTGGTGTCGCATGACTTCTGGCAGTAATATTGGAGAAGGACAGGAACCTTCTCCTGTGCATTACTAAAATTCAAACAGCTAAAAAAACTCAGAACCACAACGTGCACCATTCTGTGGAATATCAATAAAATGCAACGTGACTCTCTCATTTCTTGTTCTGTAGATGCTGGTTTCTGTGTTGTTTCCGGAATTTTCTACAAACTCTAATTTGTTCCATGGAAAGTGAAGTTGTGGATCAAACCCTGGACAAGTTACCAGACTGTTCCTTTGATTGTGTTATGTGTAGCAGTTGCTGGCAACAATCCTACTGTTGCTATTTACACCTTCTCTGTACTCACCTTTTGGTCCTTCATTTAAAGTCATACAGCGTGGAAATAGATCCTTAGGTCCAACCAGTCCATGCCGACCATAATCCCAAACTAAACTAGTCCCGCCTGCCTGCTCCCGGCTCATATCCCTTCTAACCTTTCCTATTCATTTACTTATCCAAATGTCTTTTTACATGTTGTAATTGTACCCACATCCACCGCTTCCTCAGGAAGTTCATTCCACACCCAAATCACCCTCCGTGTAAAACATTTCCCTCTCATGTCATTTTAAATCTCTCTCCACTCACATTAAAAATGTGCCCCCTAGTCTTGAAATCTCCCATCCTAGGGAAAAGAAACCTACCATTAACTTTATCTATACCTCTCATTATTTTATAAACTTCTTTCAGGCCATCTCTCAACCTCCTACGCTCCAGTGAAAGAAGTCCCAGTCTATCCAGCCTCTTTAACTCAAATCTTCTATTCCCAGCAGCATCCTGGTAAATCTCTTCCAGTTTAATAATATCCTTCCTACAACTGGGCGACCAGAACTGGACACAATATTCCTGAAGAGGCCTCACCAATGTCCTGTGCAACCTCAACATGACTTGTCCAATTGCCATCTCTTTTTGCCCTGTACCTTATCCCATTCGCCTTTTCAATCTCCACTTCCACCTCCTCACAGGCCTTTCCAATTGCTCATTCCTCACTGTCTCCTTTCCCAGCCCCTCGATCCCTAAAACCTGTGACATCTCTCGAACGTTTTCTGGTTGAGGAAAGGTAATTGATCTAAACAAGGTTAGCTTGGATTCTTTGTCCATAAAAATGCTGCCCCACCTGCTGGGCATTTCCAGCATTCAAGGGAAACAGAATTGTTTGAGAGACAAATACATACTGAAAAAGAAAATAAAACTTTATTAATATGCTTCAAATAACAACTGCAATCCATCATTCCACCAGTTTACTTTTTCACATTTTTATTATAAAAATGCGACCTGTCGTAAGCCTCATCTGGTGAGTCACTGTCTCACAAATCCAAGCATATTTACACATCCAGCCTGAAAACAAGTGCTTTTTTTTAAAAAAAAGAACATAAATAAGTTACATAATATCCAGGGTTCACTTGAATTCACATCCCCTCTAATTGCTTTACATTATCTATCTAGACAGGCTTGATTAAAGTGGGGATTTGGCTGTAACAAATTGTACCTATGAAGGCAGCAGGCTACAAACAATTCAAAACTATCACTCTAGAATCAGGGGCTGGGAAGTGTCATCTGAAAACTACAGCAAAAGTCAAACACTTCACATTTACAGCATTGATTTAAAGAGCATCAATAATTATAGGGTAATCCTCCAAACCTCTCCCTCTGCTTATTTCACCAGAGACATTGTATAGTTTCACTAACACTGGAGACCAAGCAATGTAATTGATTGAGCTTAGAATTGTGGTGTCCAGCGTTAGGTCTGTTGCAATGATTGGACGACATTTGCTGAACAATCATGAGTGTATCAGAAATGATAAGAACAAGCAATTTAGGATCATCAGTTGGACTCACAGGATGACTTAATTATGCTTGCTAGAAGCTACACATTTTTATACACAGGCCATCTGCACGCAAAAGGAAATTGTTCAAGTGGTGTGCCTTTTCAACTAAACAAAAATTTGGAGGGGGGGGCATTGCTCCCCGGGGCACACCCCCTGACCACAGTTGAGTTGTCTTCTTATAATTTAAAGAAAGTGTTGGCAAATCTGTTCCCAAGTGTATTCTCCATGGCAACCATTCCCCACCTGCCAACAAATCAGCAATCTATTTTTCATGCAGTATAAATTGTTAGTCCCTTCGGAAATTGGCATTCTTGCATGTTTCCTGATCAGTCCAAGACAAAACGCTGGTACTGCACATTTCTATTGCCAACAATTGTATGTGCTCATGCCCCAGTAACTTGCTGTAGCTCAGGATCAGGAGTGTCTGCCTGGTTTTGTTTTCCATTCCAAATGATTGTGACAGGGAGACTTACAACATGTCAAATTCGCACAGACATTCTGTGCTGAGAACTACAGGGTTTTGCACCAATGCCCACAAGTGCTTCACAGGCTACCAGTCAGAGAGGTCCACCCAACCTAGAAATTTTTTAGCAAGCCATTATTGGGTTTTGGATATAGCTGGCTAAGCCAGCCATTACTGTCGAGCCCTAGTTATCCTGGAGAAAGTGGTGGCAAGATGCCTTCATTAACCACTGCAGTCCGTGGATATTGTTACGCCCACAGTGTTGTTGGGAGATTGAAGAGGGTTACTGAGTGTCCAACTCACAGAATTTGGAAGTCAACAACTCTACAGGAATTTCCCATCATATCTATTTACTGTACTGACAGATACAGGCTCTAGATAGGTGGTAACCTGAAACACACAACCACAAACTGAGGTACATTTGACACATTAATTACGTATGCCAAAAACGTGCATCACTTTAGGTGAAAAAAGTTCATTCAGTTTTGGACAAGTATGGATAGTTTCTGGGACAAAAGGGGACAATTTAAAAACAGAAGAATCAAGACAATTTAAAAAAGTATTCTTTACTCTCGTCTGCCTTCTGTACAACTCGCTGTGAAAACAATTTAGCTGTTAAGAGGCACGAACCAAATTTTCACCGTACTGAGCCAGTTGTCACTTGGACTCTATGAGAACAGCGACTAGCTGTGAACTGGTTAAATCAGTTAAAAAGGTTAGCGAGACAATAGCTAGTTACAAATAGCTTGAAGGGCACTGGTCTGAGAGTGTGGGGTGAAGCGAGGAACAAGACCTCTATGAATTATTACAAACCACAGGAAATGAAAAGAACAAATCCAACGTCTAGTTCAGTGGCTCATCTAACGCTATACCAGTGTATGTGTCTATAGCAGGCTACAATATGGAATTTGGTGCAAACCTAGACTTTCAATCGCGGATAAATCGAAAACTGCAGGCAAGTGCCAGGGTCTGAATGCAATGCCACTTTCCATTGAATAGAATGGCTATCGTCTCCAGCACAGACAGGAGATGCACCTTTCTAGAATTAAAACACTTCTGTTTCCCAGCATCTGTGCTGAGTGGGGCGCCATGAACAGTGCAAGTTATGAAAAGGTGAGGTTCGGGATGATGTGAAACTAAACCCCAACATGGCTCGCAGCAAAGTAGCAGAAGGCAGAACATTACATCAAAACAAAAATGTCCCAAAATGTTTCCACATTCAAAAAAAAAGGTTAAAACCAGGGAGGCACAGCCCATCAAAAATATAATTTGTTTGTTAGGACCAGGCAAATGATTTGCTAGGAACTAGAATCTTTTTCACCATTCTCAAGGAGAGTCTTCTCCACATCTTGCCTCTTCACGGAGAATGTATACAGGTCATTGGATACCATGGATATTGCCTCTGGCCTGGCATCTTTGGACATGGCACTGCGGAGAGGTGGGAGAGCGGGTGGCACCTCGCCCATTGGACCATTGAAAGAACGATACACGTCCACCTCGGGGGCAGACGTCATTCCTGACTTGTTGAAGTAATCGGCATAAATACGGTCCTCATCAATCACAGCGTAAATGTGCGATTCATTGTCCTGTCTTCCCTTCACAAACTTCCGCCTCTGACCTGGCTTACGGCTGGTCACACCTGGATTGTAGGTCCCCAGGGCAGGCAAATGTTGCTGTCTTCTCCTGTATAGGGTTAGAATAAAAGAAACCTTCATATTTGAGAAACATATAAGCACTTACACATTGAGTATTGATAAATACAGTTTGGAACCAATTGGATTTGTGGAGAGAGACACAAGTCTGTGCGTATTTTTTGTTCTCTCAAGCAAATGATGATGCCTGCTAAGACCTCTTCTCCAAGTAGCCGACCTTACAATTGAATGCTCCACCAACGCTGGAGGCAACATTGTGAGAAATGTAATTATGGTTTTGCCTTGGGAGGAATTTTAGCAAAATGGTGGATAGGGAATTCGAGATGTTGTGATTCTGAACCATCTCAAATCGGTCCACATCTGGCTTCTACTGAGACAAGGACATGGCATCCACTTCCAGGAGATGGGTTGGCAATTTTAATCATATTAATGGGTGTGGTTTAATCTGTTTTCCAGTTTTGACATGAGTGGCCTGGCCTCCTGGGTCTCGAGGGAAACCCAGCTGCTAAAAGGAGGCTGGGACATCTTTAAAGGAAGGTCAGGGCTTTGACAGGAATAGACTCTAAGGCCCACCAAGCCTGTGCTGACTCCTAATCCTTACTTAGACCCACTACTTATTGCCCATGTGCAGTTTCTATCCCTCTTTTGCCTCCTGTTCATGTGTCTACCAAGACATGCCTTAAACATTGCTAATGTGCCTGCTTCCACCATCTCCATTGGCAGTGCATTCCAGGCACTCACCACCCTCTGTGTAAAACATTTTCCCCGCACTTCTCCCCTAAACCATTCCCTTCTCACCTCGAACTTGTGCCCTCTTGTAGTTGACCTTTCCACCCTGGGAAATACCTCTGAAGAGGCTTTAGAATATGCCTCTCAGTTTTGTAAACCTTTATCAAGTCGCCCCTCAACATCTGCCTTTCTAATGAAAACAACCTGAATTTATCCAACCTCGCTTCATAACTAAAACCCTCCAGATCAGGCCACATCCTGGTAAACCTTCTCTGAACTCTCTCCAAAGCATCCATGTCCTTCTGGTCGTATGGTGACCAAAACAGCACACAATGTTCCAAATGTGGACTAATTAACGTTTTCTAAAATAACTTGCCAACTTTTATATTCGACGGACCGGCCAATGAAGGCAAGCATGCTGTGTGCCTTCTTGACCACCTTATCCATCTGTGACGCCACTTTTAGGGATCTGTGGATCTGCATGCCCAGATCCCTCTATATGTCATTGCTCCTAACGGTTCTACCATTTATTGTATAATTTGCACCTGAATTTGACCTTCCAAATGCATTGTATCCATCTAGCCAGCTCACCCTGGATCCCACGAGACTCTACCTTCTGTACCAGCCTGCCATGAGGTACCTGATCAAATGCCTCACTAAAGTCCAGGCAGACAACATCCAATGCCCTTCCCTCATCAATCATTCTTGTCACCTCCTCAAAAAACTCACTCAAGTTGGGGAGACATGACCTTCCCTGCACATACAAGTCCATTTGCTTCCAAATATGAATAAATCATGTCTCTTCGTATCTTCTCCAACAGCTTCCCCACCCACTGACTCACTGGTCTGTAATTACCTGGATTATCTCTGTTTCCGTTCTTAAATAAAGGAACAACATTGGCCATCCTTTAGTCCTCGGAGGCCAGCAAGGATGCAAAGCTATCTGTTAAGACCCCAGCTATTTCCTCCCTTGCCTCCCACAGTATCCTGGGATAGATCCTGTATGGCCCTAGGGACTTGTCTACCTTAAATGTATTTCAAGACACCCAACACTTCCTCCTTCAATATGTTGCCCTGCCTGAGTGCATTCATACACCTTTCCCTAACCTCAACATCCCTCACGTCCCTCTCTTTGGTGAATACCGATGTGAAGTGCTCATTAAGGATCTTACCCATTTCTTCTGGTTCCACTCATAACCTTTATCCTTGCGTGGGCCTACTCTTGCCCTAGCTACCCTCTCGCTCCTAATATATGTATAAAATGCCTCAGGATTCTCCTTAACCCTGCTGGCCCCTTGTAGCCCTCCCTATTCCTTGTTTGAGCTCCTTCCTACTTTCTCCACATTCTTCAAGGACTTTGTCAGTTTTTAGTTGCTAGACCTTTCGCAATAAACAACTGCACCTCCCAGTCGCGAACCATTTCAACTCCCCCTCCCATTCCTCAGATGACATGTCCATCCTGGGCCTCCTGCAGTGCCACAACGATGCCACCCGAAGGTTGCAGGAACAGCAACTCATATTCCGTTTGGGAACCCTGCAGCCCAATGGTATCAATGTGGATTTCACAAGCTCCAAAATTTCCCCTCCCCCTACCGCATCCCAAAACCAGCCCAGCTCGTCCCCGCCTCCCTAACCTGTTCTTCCTCCCACCTATCCCCTCCTCCCACCTCAAGTCACATCCCCATCTCCTACCTACTAACCTCATCCCGCCCCCTTGACCTGTCTGTCCTCTCTGGACTGATCTATCTCCTCACTACCTCCCCACCCACACTCACCTTTACTGGCTCCATCCCTGCCTCTTTGACCTGTCTGTCTCCTCTCCACCTATCCTCTCCTCTATCCATCTTCTATCCGCCTCCGCCTCTCTCCCTATTTATTTCAGAACCCCTTTCCCCTCCCCCATTTCTGAAGAAGGGTCTAGGTCCGAAACGTCAGCCTTTCTGCTCCTATGATGCTGCTTGGCCTGCTGTGTTCATCCAGCTCTACACCTTGTTGTCTCAGACCTTAGGTACGCTTCCTTTATTTTTGACTATGCTGATAATTTCCCCTGTCATCCAAGGTGCCTGAATTCTGCCATTCCTGTCTTTCATTTTCACAGAAACATGCCTGTCCTGCACTCTAATCAACTGGTCCTTAAAAGATTCTCACATGTCAAACAGCTGCTCCCAATCCATGCTCTCCAATTCTCATCTAATTTGGTTGTAGTTGACCTTACCCCCAATTTTATACCTTCATCTAAGGTCCACTCTTGTCCTTATCCATGTGTGTCCAATAACTTATGGAATTATGGTCACTATTCCCAAAATGCTCCCCCACTGAAACTTGGATCACTTGGCCGGGTTCATTTCCCAATACCAGGTCCAGTAAGGCTCCTTCCCTTGTTGGACTAACCACATATTGCTTCAAAAAATCCTCCCAGACACACTTAACAAATTGCTTCCCATCCAAACCCCGGCACTAAAGGGAGTCCCAGTGAATATGGGGGAAGTTAAAACCACACACCACATCAACCCTGTTATTTTCATATCTTTCCAGAATCTGACTACATTTCTCTTCCTCTATCTCCCACTGGGAGATCTGTAGTACAAACCCAGCATTGTGATCCTATCCTTGAAGTCTACCCATAATACCTCACTGTAAAATCCCTCCAGGGTGTCCTCCCTCAGTACAGCTGTGATATGCTCCCTAACCCTAAGTAATGCAACTCGCCCACCTCTTTGTTTCCTCCTCTGTCTCATCTAAAACATCGATATCCCAGAATGTTAAGCTGCCAATCCTCTTTCAACCATGTCTCTGTGACAGCAACATCATAATTGCATGTATTAATCCAGCTCTAAGTTCATCTGTCTTCCCTGTTATACTTCTTGCATTGTTGGTCAGGAGATGCCTTTACAGCACTGCGTGTGGGTCAGGAGGAGCAAGAATCTTCCTCTCAGCGACTATCTCCCAGCACTGCTCCCTCCAGGTTCTAGGTTCTCTGGCCTGTTAAGATCCTGCCCTTATTTAAACCGCCCCCACACCCCAGAGTCAGAAGCCCCACCTGGTATCAGTCACCACATTCACCCCACCCCTGGGTCAGGATTGGCTCTGCAGTCTTTCGCAGGAGGCTTTGGAACAGGTAATCTATCAGAGTTTGAGGAAAAACCGTGCTTTCCCATCACTCACACGCTCTCACAATACACTTGCACACATAACATTTCAATACGTCATATCATTTCCAGAGTTTCATGTATGACACTTCAGCATCAACTAAATTCAGTATCTAATGCTATGAAAAAAGAAATTTTTGAACAGTCACATAGACCCCCAGAAAGCATAGACAAACTACAATAATTTACCGCTTTGTTAATTATAAAACTGACAACATTACTAAGAAGGCAAAAGACCATTAACCAATTCTTTTTTGAAAATCACACCAACGTTGGAAAGATCTTAAATTGCAACAAAGATTTGCTTAAACCGCACGAATAATTCGAATAATGCACAATGTTTCTGTCACTCTCCAAGGGCTTTCCTTCAATTACTAGCCTCAAGCAGAAAACCATCAGAAAATAAAACGGAGGCAGAGCACAACTGAAAGCGCCTCAATGTATTGGGAAAGTTATTGCAGTGATTAATCAACTGTTCAGCTTTGGTTAGACAGCACGAGTGCATAAAATAAAAGTAACTGCAGTCTGCAGAGTTAGCAGAGAGATTAATGCAACAGTTTGACCCCAACTGCGAGACAGAAATGAGGGAATCACCAAATGTTGCTCATCTTATTCTGACCTATGATGTGCTGATTGATCTGGTTTAACCAAATCAGCGAACCCCCAAGATTTTCATGCATTAATTTATGGCAATTACACTGGAAGAATAGGAAGGCAAAGTAGCCCATAGTAACAAATGTCAAATTGAAGGATTATCCCAATAATCCAGTAGACAGTCAAATACAATTAATCTTTGGTAACACAAGGAGCATGTTTTAGAGAAACTATAGTGACTAGCTACAATATATTATTCATAAAACACTAAATGAATCTGCTGCTGAAGTACTAAGTCAAGTGACAAAGTTGTTTAAAGGCAGGATGTTTGATGGAAAACAGAATGTTAAAGCGCTTCACTGTAGATTTTTATAAAATGCATATATCCCAATTAAAAGATCAATTTGCGAGCAATTTTAAGCAGAGAACTCACTTAGATGTCAGAAGTAAACAAGCGGATGTCTTTCAAAAGGGAACTGCTCCATGTTGGACATAAGGGCATCAAAAAGATGCTCTGTGCACTAGTTGATCCCCTGTGGCAATGCTCATGAGATGGATG